CCACTAATGAGATATTCTTCATTAAAGGATGATAGAAGGCATATCGCTTCTTCCTCAGTGCATAGTATAGGACCCATGCAGCATATAGCAAGCCAAGCGATAATTGGAACAAATAACTGAGGGCAGGAATAGCCTCGGTAAACTGACGAGGTTTATAGCTACTTGTCGTTGTGTATCGAAAGCTATTGAGGGCGCCAAAAATAACATCGAGGGTGATAAGGGCGAAAGCTGTCCATTTGATAATGACCTTCTCACGCTGACGTGGAAATAGTCGAATCAATGTCTGCGCCTGCGCCAGCCAGAGAAAGGTGTCCGATATCAACTGAATAGTCTTCAGTTGCGTGCCACCAAGTACATGCTGTTGTAATTTGTGGGCGTCCTGGTAGCCATCCATATACTGTTGCTCAGCCACGCGAAACGTATCAGCCGTCGCGATAGTGAGCGATACAGCCACGAGTAGCGTAGCGACTTTCTGGAGCCACGGGCGGCCACCGATGTTAATGCCGTTGGAATTACCGTTCGTAAAGCCGCTGCGGCCCAAATTCACAACACCACCATCCAAGAAGGATCTTGGCGCAATGACGAGCATGGCCAGGAGCATATAGGCAAGAACAGTGGTGGCAGCTAAGGCGTAGCATTGCGGAAAGATTGTGGCATAGAAATGATCTCTCAGGTCGGAATATTGAGGTGGATCCAGCCACGTCTCATCCGTGCTTACGCCCCCGGTGACGATGAGAGAGCGATGGTGAATGGCCGTAGGCGTGGCAACGGGACAAGGGGGCCAATAGACAGCATCGGCGGCTAGTATCGTAGGTGAAGCGCGTCCAACGGACAGGGTGCCGCTCGCCGCAAGGATTACCGGCGCGCAATTCGTCGACATGTTCGACGCCAAGGTCAAGGGGAGGTTGTGATAAGGGTCAGAATTGAGCGAAGCCGTTCTAGCGCGACCCCGGACAGCGGCTCAGGCGCAGAGCCGCAGTGCAATTGAGCAAAGACGTGTTATCGGAAAGCGTTCGCCATAGAATAAAGCAACGGCCCTTCGAAGGGCTCCGGTAGGGGCGTAATCCTGATCAATCGGCGTCGTACTACCTGGTTCTCTGCGGGAGTATTCCAATATCTCAAAGCCCAAGGGCGTTCCCCGACGGCGGTATTGTATTTCTTCCCTCTTCTTCCTGTGTCACTCCCCCTCTCTATATCGCTTAGAAATCAAACAGACGCTGATCTATCAATCATACGGACGATCGAAGCATAAGTTGGTACCGGGTGGTTGCACTACCAATATGATGTATTAGAGAGCAGGTGGTTGAAGGGGCATTCGAGGAGACGGGTGAGGCCTGGGCGCCGAGAAGCAAGATGATTAGTGTAGGCGTATGAGCAAGAAACCGGGGAAAGTCTGGGCTGGGTTGGTCTGGGGGGAGAGGCTTCGGGCGTGTAATTGGCAGCAGTGGGATGGATGTCTGCGCTGCGGTGTACCTACAGTGCTCGTAGTGGTTGTCGTAGGTACCTCTGCGCTACTATCCCGTACCTGAACGAGTCGGAGCCAATCTGTCTCCCCTATCTGCTAGGGTACCTACCTACATGTAGATAGGTGCCATGCCGAACCCCTAAATACAGTGCATAACACATTTGTGTACTGTAATTAATATACTGTCCGCAGTCAGACCAAAGGATCAAGGCGCTTTACTTACTGCCACTGAATACGCCACCAGTGAGGTGTCTGGATAGGTAGTTGATTACTGTGGTACCTAGGTGGTGTAAGTCGGTTCTTCCCGGGGTACCTCCACGATGTAAAAATAGGCGCCTAATTGCTCTTATTAAGGTACCGCACATAGTGGAGCAGCATGTTTACCCTATTGGTCGGCCATCCAGGAGCACCACCCGCCTACGACCTCCGTCAGTGTGCCTGAGTAGGTTCGGTGGCCGAGCAACGCGGTCGGACGAACAGTAGGGCAGGCACAGGCAGGGCAGGGCCGTTATCGAACTCGCCCGGTAGATTGAGTACCGAGACGGTTACATAGCCCTTGATGCCAGACACTTGAGCACGGTAGATTATCTGATAGCGTACCTTATGGTGCGTCGCAGTTCTTCCAACATCCAACATCATCAATCCATTCTCTGCCCCCCTCCCCCGCCAGACTCAGGTCTGTATCCGGAACGTCACAGCCATTCATGCACTCTATATAACGTGTTTACCCTATTGGTCGGCCCAGCCCGCTGTTCGGCCACTTAACCCAGGTTATTGACAGACGAGCGCTGTAGGCCCCCTGGATGGCCGAACAACAAGGCGAAGATGCTCCTGTGCAGAGGCGCGTAATATATGTATCTGTACACTGCTTTGCCCACTGGATACACTCGTTCGCAGGGCGCTTCCCGATCACTGCGACGAGTCTGATCGTTTACATAAGCGGGCTGCGCGTGCATCTCGTGGGCGGCCAAGAGGCTTGGGCTCGAGTTACGATTCGCCCGCCCGGCTGATCTGCCCAGGTATATATGCATCCTGACATCCCAATGGCTGGCTGAACTACCTTGTATTTCTCCCATCCTCGGTCTCATCAAAGAGATCAGAACACTTGCCGTCAATCCTGTCAACTTGGCAAAGCTTATTCCTCGTGGAGGCATGAGGGCCTGCCTTGGCACGACCTCAGCGAACATTCACCGAATCTCGAATCTTCCCCGGGAGACACGGGCAGCCGCATGTTGCGGGTTCTGTTGCGGGCAGCAAGCCCGACATGGCTGTGCACTCAATAGAGGCGGGCAGACGGCAGCATCTATCATGAGGGCAAGCTGGTCGCGATTGGTCGTCTTCTGGTCGCCGGCCACCTCGCGCCGTGTCATGTGCTTGGCACATCTTTGCAAGTGCTATGTTGTGATACATACTCCATCGGGACGCTCTTCCGTACGTGGGTCATGCAAAAAGACCCGTGACGAGAGAAGATCCTACCCATAATACCTCCTTGCGGCTTGCTGTCTCGAGTGCCCACATATATCTACCTACTAAATAATAGCACCCCATGTATTCCGTATTGCCACAGCGAGGAAGTTCAAGGCCAAGACGTTTGGCAAGCTGCTTAAACTTTGCGACATGGCGAGAATATCCCGAGCGACCATGAATACCATACTCGCAGTCGAATTTCAATCAAGTAACTGTCTAAATTTTTGTAGATATCTCGTCTTGTAACTGTTACCCATGTTACTCATGTTACTCATGTAAGTATTCCACCCAGCTTCCTCGTTCGGTAATACGCTCTGCGTTTATGTCTCTGGTATGTCTCCAGCCAGCCATCAACCATCCGACTTTTCGTCAACTCCGCTTAGACCGGTGTAGGCATATCACTTATACGGGGCAACCAAAGACACCATCTAGCGGTGACTCGCGTGCTCCTTTCGGAAACTGCCTCGGGGCCCAAAGGCCGTGATCTGCTTATAGAACATGATATCTCTCATTCATATCCATAAGCAAGCTGCTCTGTCCATGGTGGTGAATGAGATACCAGGTAAACTTGCCGGTTTCGGGATCAACAGAACTGATTCCTCTCATGTTTCTACTCAGTATCACTTACAACCGAGGAGACAGAGCCATGAGGGTTTGGGCAATGCTGAAGCTGCAATACTATTTAGACGAGATTGGGCCGAACCTACACATCTCAACCGTATGTCATCAAGCAGGGAAACATGAGACCATATTTAGCAGCTAAGTATTATACTACCCTTCTTGGCCAGATTCTCCGTACCAGTGGCTCCAAGATCACCATACCCGTTTGACAGGAGAAAACGACGATAAAGTAACCCCCCGCCGCCCAAGAAAAAATAAACCAAGATAACCGAGGCCAAACGTTTTTTTTTCCTTTCGGAATCAAAACGAATACCTACACGTCTTGCTAACATAGGTACTCATATAGTCGAGACCCTACGCGACCCCAGTTCCGCTGCATCCCACCGTAACATCCGTGTGCCCGCGCTAATAAAAGAAAGAAAGAGAAAGAGAGAAAGAGAAAAAAAAACTTTTAATACTCGCTGCCGCAAGATCTTGACAGATTTGCTGAGCATCGGGACCGGCTACCAGTCCTATGAGGCATTACTCCTGCATACCCGCTACCGCGGGCATTGTCGGCACATCTAAACCCACCTTCACGCGTGTCCGGGGGGACCCCTTGCGTGGGATTTGTGGAATTGCTGAGCCGGTTTTGACACCGATGACTTCACTCGCGGGGGTGTGCCTACCTACCTACTCAACCATGGAGGACAAGCAGCCAGGACTACCGATAATTCTGCCATCGCTTTTCTCCTCCCGGCGGCTGATTGAATCCCTACCTTGTCCTAGATACGAGTTATGCTAAAAAGAGTCGACATTTGGGTAGCTAAAAAAGCAGTTGGGCAGAAAAAAAAAGGGGGGCCGTATTTCCATTTCCCTCGAGATGAATGCTCCTGTAGGTAGATCTGCACTACAGTAAGTGGACAACACATAGCTGGATTTGTGATCAAAGTGATCTATCGTTACCAGAACGAGAGAAGGGAGGCTGCGTGAATGCGCCGCACTCATCCAGGTAGACGCATGGTACCTAGATAGATAGATTATAGCACAGCGATGCAAATAAAACACAAATTCCATGAGTCCCACCGTATCTTAAATCGCGTTCAAGTGTGGTTCTACGTCTAGACGCACGTCGGTTTCTACCAGTTGCCCATGGTGGAGCGTCGGGGGAATGAGTTCGCCCGAGTGTATTCTCGTTCATGCCCGTGGCGAACAATAAACCCGCCCGTTCACGCATTCCGAAAAGGGCGGTGGGGGAAATCATGGAAAGTCCTCGCGACCGACCACACGAATAAACAAAAGGAACCGAAAAGCAGCGGTATGACAAGAATCACAAGCAAGCCACCGCAGAGATGTAAGGCCTACAATAGGCCCCCGACCCGGCCACCCGCAGAACGAACCCGCGTCGCAAACCGAGCTCGGGTCAACATGAGCGGCATTATCTCCGGAATGATTCATCCAACAGATTGCCCGCTTGGCTAAGTGGTATAGCGTGTCACTAGTACATATCGGTGCTACAAATCTCATCGATCCTAGATGCCATGACAAGATCAGCGGTTCGATTCCGCTAGTGGGCAAAAAAACCCTGGCTTCAACCATCTTCGTCCGAATTGGTGTAGTGGCTAACATTTGACGCTCTCATGTTGTTGTCCTTGTGATAACAGGTGAAGTCCCGTCAAGCCCGGGGTTCGATTCCCCGATTCGGAGTATAAAGTTGCAAGCGGATTCTTTTTTGTTGGACCTCTAGGCCGTATCTGTGCGCGTAACTATATTCCCCGAAGTCTTGAGTTTTAGCGAAATGTTGGCTCGTGTGGCCAATCCCGTGTAGAGAATGCTACATGGGTTTATTCAAAAACTTCTATAGGTCTTGACTATATTTATATTCGACAATGAAAACCAAAAGCATTACAAATCGTACTTGTCTCTGTTTAAGAAGGATCTATAGTCTCTAGTAATAAAGTAAAGCCGCTTGTTCATCGATCTTATAGGTCAGGCAATCTATCCAAAATCCAGTGCCAAAAACCGATGAACGGCCAGTAGTTAACTCACTGCGCCACCGTCAATGACATCCTGAGGATCAGCACCCCTTCAATGGATACAACCAAAAATGCCCTTAATTGCCAGGCTCGGTATCTTGGGCCACGTTGGTATTGATGACGATGTCATCTCTGTCCCCAAAATGCAGAATAATAGTGACTCCTAGAAGATCAAGATCATCCTCGTGCGAGTCATGCTTAGGAGTGATAATACCTGAGCTCCCAAGCGAAGGGCGGTTCGACATCTCGAACTCGAGCTGGCGAATCTCATTTGTCAATGCTAAATATCGTTCTTTCTAGGAACATTCATGACTTGGAGGAGAAACGAGTGCCCGCTGAGTCGTTCGCGCTTCGGATAAATCCTCGGTGAAAGACTTTGTCTCGCTGTTCTCAAGTTTTAGGTTGGGCTCGAAGCTTGTGGATGTAGCCGCCTTGATAAACTCTCGCTGACACACATACGAATTGTCGGATTCGGTGCTGTAGTCCTCTGTCCGGCGAGGCTGAGCGGCCAAGCGCTGGAGTGCATCTTGCGGATTCAATATTGCTATAAGCGACTGCGATAGTCCACTCTCGTCGCTCGTTGATTCTTGATGCTGAGCTAGCCCAGAAGGTACCCTATGTATTACACTGTTATTACGTTCGTGGCTCATTTTATCTGTCGGCAAGGTCACATTCGTATAACCCTGATCAGATTCAGAAATTCCACGCCGTGGTACTGAAATGGAGTCATTCGGGGGACTGCACTCAAAAGACGCCCGGGTAATTCGTATCTCGGGTGCGACGTGCGATGGCACCTTCGCTTTGCGATTGCTTCGGGGTCGCCCACGGTCCTCATGGTAAGGACTATTAGACGGGCAGTGCGTAGCTTGTTGCTGTGTCGCTGGTAAGGCTGTGTGTGGAGATAGAGCAGCAATTTGGTCCGGCTTTTGACTTGACTCGGCAAGGGAATTCAAATATTCTGAGTCTCCTCGTATATTGATTTTAGGGACGGAACGTCTCAAGCTAGAGGCCGCGTGTCCTTTGGAATTATCGACGACGATGTTTGATAGATATCCATGGTCATGGTCGTGAGTTTTATGGTCTTTCGTGTTGACGTGGTGCAGCAGAGCGGTAGCATTGGCTGCTGCCTTCGTAGGACTCTTTAACCATGATGGTGTGCTGGCTAGTCGAATTTTGAGGTTACTATCATACAAGGCCGAAGGCCGGTTAGAGCCGCTATAGGCTTTTTTCGGCTCGCAGTCATCGGTAGTCTCTCCTAATGCCGTCTCCCGTACCTCATGCGTGGTCTCGTCTGGAGGTTCGTATGGTTTGCGCATTGGCTCGATGTAAGGATTGATCCACTCCGTTGCGCGGTTGTTGAGATGACAACTGTCGTGACCAACCGCTGACGAAAGGTGCCCCGCAGCGTGATGATCACTTTGGAGGCCGATAGAGTGGTGATAATGGACTGTATCGCCGTTGACTAGATTCGAGGTTGAATTGGAGCCTGGATTATCGACTACCTCAGCTACAGGAGGCTCACTTAAAGCATTTTCAAGCAGAACATCCCGCGCGCTCTGCCCGCTGTCCTTCTTGGGGCAGGAAACACTGTGTCGAAAAGGATGGTGCCCAGCGTGGGTTGCTCTACAGATAGGATCGTCACATTCAACTCGATTCGTAGAGGCATCCTGCCTCACCTCTTGCTCCTTAAGATTCTTGCTATGGAGAACTGGGTTCTTCATCACGGACCGTGTCGATATGATCTGAATTTGTTCGGGTTGGCCGCCATTTATATGTGAACACTGTCTTATGGCTGGGGCGAATATCTCAGATGGTATCGTTTCCTCTTCCGGCTCGCCATTCGTTGTTCGTCGGTTATGTTCGGCATAGATATTAGGTGGTTGGCGCTGTGTATCCACGTAGTATTGGTCCTGGCCTTTAGAGGTAGAATGAGCTGTTTTTATTTCTCGATTGCAATCTGATATTGATTCAGAATTTAATCCAGAAGCAGATACGTGTTGCAATTCATCTCTTGCGACAGTGGGATTCGGACGGTGCAAGAAATTAGTATGGGTCTGCGAAGTATCACCGCGCACTTCACGCGAGCACTTTTTGCAGATGCGATGCCCACAAGAAGAGCAATGAATTAGGGCCCGAGCAGGAGCTGAACAGAAGTGACAGTATCTATAATATCTTCGTTGGCTTATATTGTCACCCCCTGATAGAAGTAAGTCCTCTTTGTCTGAAAACCAGCCGGAGGGCCTGCTGACATTGTACAGCGTGAACATGTCGCAGGCTGACTGCCATCGCTCAGCATCTGGGGTGTCATGCGAAATGGGTGATTTTGATGTTAGGTTTTGCAGCTCTTTATCAGAGAGTATAGGATTGATGAGAGGCCGGCGCCCTGGAGCATCTGCCGGTAGTTGAGCATGAGGTCGATTAGAATGAGTTTCTTCGATATTCTCATAGACACGTTGTCTACTAGATGGGAGAGTTTTTGTAAGTCCAAACTTGTCGTGCAGATGGCCTATAGAAAAACTCTTTCGGCACGGTGGCTTGGCTTCTGGGCTATGAGCTGCGAGTGTGTGATCCTCGTCGTGCTTATTTCGGCCACAATTAGGGAAGATAAATGAACGGCCAGTGGGAGGTGTTCGAAAGTCGGGAACATCGAAGTAGTGTGTCGAGGATTTCACGGACTGAGAGCGTGGTAAACGTGCCTAACTGACGGATGTATGCGCACGCTCGCGTTCGGTGAAGCCGGGTTCTTCGGAAGATGAATAAGCCTCGTGAGAAAGGGCGCAGATCCGGTGTCGTCGTGATTGAACCATTCCAGGAGGGACTGGTATCTCGAGAGCAGAGTGCTTGCTCTCGTTCAGGCTCTTCATATCTTTAGGAGCGGCCCCTCGTTGTTCCGGAAGCATGGCAGGGGGTTCTCGAGGTGATCCCAATAGAAACCTACAAGTAACGCATCATCTCCTAGGTAAGAGTTCGGCATAAAGATTATATCTACGATAAGGGGAACCTAGGTTTATTGCCGAGTCAGCCAACAACTTAGCACATGGGATCGAAAAGAGGATGATTTCGGCGGTCTAGCTGAAGCACGAGATCAATAGGCTAGGTAGCAATCGTGACCAGCGGCCAGAGGTAGCTGCGATAGATATGACAAGCAAGCGCATTCACAAACAAGGAAAGCCACCCTCGTTGACGCCAAGAGGCTGGCTCTAAACCTTCTTGATTTGTCGCTGGGAGTCGTAGGGAATTATGCTGATGTACAAGTTGACGTAATAAGTATCCTCTATCCAATCTATTTCAGAACAGCTTGCAAGCTCTCAAGGACCTAAAATCGTTAACAAGATACAGGGCATAGCCAAGATGGTAGATGTATATGCCTTACCTCCAGTTCAATCTTCGCCTCAGCGATATCCTGCTCACTGCCACCGCCGTTGGCGACTTTCTGTGCCTCGGCAATCTGGGATCGGACAGCTTCGGAGCTGAAGTCCTCTAGCGGGTATCCCTCAACAGCATTGATACTCATGACAGAGTTTGGCTGGACGGTAGCGAAGCCACCGGAGACTAGTAGCATACTTTAGTGAACCGTTCCAGGCTATCTCTTCATATGCACATACGGAAGAACTGCTTGCTGGAGCCATTCTCCTCGACAACCTCGACAAGGCCCGGCTTTAATTGTTCAATAGAAGGCACGTGGTTTGCAAGGACACCCATTTCTCCGGACTCAGCGGGGATGTTGACCTGAACGACACCCTGGGAGGTGTACATGGACTGTTGCGGGAATTAGCAGGTCGGTCGATGGGCAGCGGGGTCGTCGTCACGAAGGCAGGTCGTAGGCCGTAGTCGCAATACTCGCGACTTACTAAACCTCGGCTGGAGCTTTGGTGCGCATCGTACCTGGTGAGGAAGAGACAAGCTCAGCTTGATCTATGAAATGTTAGAGGACGGATCTTGAAGTTACTATGGGATACGAGCCTTGTCTGGGGCTGCGTCGGCATAGCTCCTGCGCTGCAAAGGCTGGACGCGAAACCGCATAGCAGCGGGGCGAGCTCGCAGAGCTGCGCGGGCAACACGGAAAGTGTTCATGATGGCTGGCGTAGTCAATTGAAGAAGTGCGTAACGAGCGAAGCTCACAAATGTCGACAGCAAATCGAGATGACCCAAACCGAAGAGACAGGATCCCGGAAGGCTCTGAAGCTAGCCTGATTTGGTATAAATGCTGAGCACGTGTATGGTCACGTGATCTTAACATCGGACATGTGTTGGATAGTGCACGGACCACATGTCTACCTGCGATAGTTGCACTAGAGCGGCCCAAACCCTTTGAATCGGTCCAGGTCTTAGTCATCAAGCTGTGGCTTAGATAGGAGGCTTGTCTGCGCCGGACCGCCTTACTACACGGACCTAATGGTACGTGCTACTGTATTCAGCCGGACAGAGTTAAACCTCGGCCACCCAGCCTACTCAGCGCATCGGTGGGGCGTCTTCTAGGCGCGTAGTATCCCCGGATGGCCAAGGCATCTGGTTGGCCGACCGATACGGCAAACATGTTGATTGCTTTCTGGATTTTCCTCTTTCCTTGGAGACTGAAGAACACCCTGCTTCAAATTCTGTGTTGAATTAGGTACCATACTGCGTTTTGGCTTTAGACGATCTATGCCATTCATTCGATAACCCCCTCAA